TTCTGCGTACGCAAAACCGCACATTTCTCTACGGTATTAAGAGGAGACCATACGGGTTCATAAAATTTAGCATTGGATTTGATCCATATGGTTAACTTTACAAGTCCTATTGGTAAATGACGTTTTATGAAAGGTCATTTCACGATATTAGAAAGCCTCACAACTAGAAACTTTTTTGAAACCGAATTTTGTCCCTCCTTCGAGCATAAATTCGAAAGAAGATGTAATTTTCTACCGAATGAATGAACGAATGAATATTTTCATACACGTTTTCCATGAAATATAATTGAATTTTTAGGGGCATCGAAAATCAAAGAGAAAAGTTCATGCTACATATGTAGTCATTTTTCACAGAGCATAGTTTATTCATGCAGTCGGAAGGATGTTGTTTCGAAAGCTAGCATCCTGAGGTAACTGAATTATTATAGAATTATACCGCAGACTGATTAGTTGTACAACCCTAGTTAATTAATCTTTTCGAAACAAAAACAAATATCGTAATTTCGGTTGACATTTCGTGAGTTAGCCTACTGTACAATAGCAAGAATTTGATCAGCAATGTGTTTCACCATATTCCTAACGTAGCTACTATCTGGATGTTCAACCACGTATACTAAGGTTTCTTTGCTGCTGGCTGTGGATAAAAGCGAGGAGATCGACTCCTCAGTAGATTTTCTGTGCCCCTAACGGGTGTCCTGGCGTAAATTCAACCACCAAATGGCGCTTTATAGTTGATTTTGGAATAATCTGACGAACTTGGAAAAAAGTCGTCGGGACGGGATTTTTCAGATTCGGCTCCGGCGAGTTGGTAGGCATCTTATTAAACATTATTGGTTTTTGGCAACAAACGTTCAAATCTAGCAGTAGGTAGTGCTCTCTCCGACATATATAATATTCCATGAGTCTAACAGAAAGTGTGACCCGATATACCCCGATTCGACGAATGCGCTGCACATCAGTTCAATTCTTTTAATTTTATTCATAATATACCAAAAACAAGCATGGTAGTGCGCGCCCCTAGACCACCGCATATGCTAATGAGCATGGCAATAAACAATGCTTCCAGATTGTTAAAATGTCAAAGTCAGAACAGGTAGACTCTCAGGACTTGTGGATCTTCAAACAAGCTAGGCAGATCGTGAAAGCCGAACTTATGTTTCAAACTCCGGCCCAAGAGTCCTATTCGACCGCTGTTACCCCAGGGAGATCAAGTGTGCACCATGTTATCCCCGTGTTTTAATGCGTTCAGTTTAATCAAATAACTTGTTTTTCCCTTATTGCAAGTTGTTTCCAACTGCGGGGAGCAAGAATACGACTATGCATAAAGAGGTTTGGAAAAGTGTTAAGGTTAGTGAAATAACCAAGCAGCAATTAGTTTCCTGAGTTTATTTAACTCGTTCAGGCGCGCAGGGTCAAAAGGAACTATGTAAAGCTCGACTTCAAAGAGTAATCGTATCGTCAGTCTTTGAAGCCTTTTGTAAATTCGTGACTTATTTCAACCCCACTTGATGTGATTTTTTGATTTAGCTCTATTCTTGTCCGATTTATACCACCCACTTGAGTGAGTATGCCTGGTTTTCACCCATTGTTTCTTGCTCTATCACATGCGTTGGGATAATATTCATTTGTTTATAAGACCATTTAAACATCATAAGCTGGGATCACGAAGAGAAAATAGATAAATTAACCAATGCGACCACAAATGTCCTGAGACATTTCGGGGACATAGTACGACAAATCAGTTTGCACATCATTGGATATTCAGCGCCAATACACACGTTTAACTGCCTTTCTTTTAGGAATTCCTATCAAGCCCTTGCCATTTGAACGGGTATGAATTCAATCTGTCGACCACTGAAGTCTTCCTCCACTCATGCGTGGATTCTCAACTGGCCACATCTACCTTCAAGAGGTCTATCAAGAAACCAGAGGTTAGCAGACTTGCGCCTAAACAACCGTTGTTCACCTTACATTTTTTACAAACAATGGAAGAGGCTAGTACAAGAAATCCAACGGTTAGCGTAAGAGCAAGGAAGACTGAACTTGGCCTTGAGAAAAAACGTTTTCAGTAGATGATAGGAAAATTGGCGCGACTTATTCGAAAAACGTATGCTGCAAGTGAGCTCGGGAAAATATAAATGAAAACCATTTTGTAACCGTGTGTGCTGCGCTACCGTAGTAGTCAATCTTGTGACTGTTTCGTTGCTGGTATAAAAACTCACTCGTGTGCATCGTCGTTCCTTATTTCCACAGCCGATCCTAATAAATGGGCATATCAACTCGACTGCACTACATTGTCCTTTACCAGAAAAAAAAACGTGTTCTGGCAGGTGGACGTTCGCCGATCGTGCTAGGGGACACACTCGTCGCGTAGCGCCTTTGGGCTTAAACGTGAAAGCGGCGGTGCTCACCCTTTATCCAGAGATGAGGGCTGTCCTTTCCGTTTTATGTTTGGCCGTCATGTTAGTTAACATCAAATGGGCATTTCTGGCAATCGGGATGGGTGAAACCACTGTGCGGACAGAGGATTGTGTATGCATTAGCAGCAGTTCGTACGCAAGTGACGGTCAGCTTCAGATGGCTAGATGAAAGCACCATACGGGGCGGAGACATGGACCTCCCATGTCAACCATGCCAAAAAAATGAATCACTACCACCTAAACTGTCTCCGAACAATAAGGCAGATAAGATGACAGGACAGGATCCCGGGCACAGAAGACCGGCAACGGACATGGGACCGGAATCAACGGCATTCATGCTATACTGAGACGACTGAAACTGCGTTGGGGCGGCCACCTCACGAGGATGGACGACGAGCGCCTGCTCGAGCGACTCATCTACAGCGCGGTCGCTATAGGTGCTCGTTGACGGAAGTAAATGGGCCTTCTCAGGACAGAGAGTCAGGCTGCAATGGTTCGCCTCCTATGTGACCTCCAATGAAACTCAAGTGCAGATGGGATTCTGGCAACCCCTTTCTTATTTTTGTGAGAACCCGGTCTACCACGCGCGGACCGGGCGTGTGTGGCACATGTAGACGGATGATTAGTCGGCAATATGTGGTTATGTAGCCCCGCCTGATGGACAAAATACTGCTGGGGCTGGGGTTAGGGTTATGGTTAGGGGCTAGGGTTAGGGCTAAGGGTTTGGGTAAGGGGTTAGAATTAGGAGTTAGTGCACCTATTTCCCGACCACTCAAAGCACAACCGCGCATTCCTAACAGCTTTTCTTTTGCACACAACTACTTGACCTCGTCGCCTGTGCGTTCCCCGGCCCCAACTGTAAAAACCCAATTACCACCGGTACCGTATTACAGGTGGATGGGATTTGTTTACTTCAGGTGGGACTGCATAACCACATTTGACCCATTTAGCCCTGCCAGTCACTGCACCCGATCTCGCCTCTGATCGTCTTAAGTTGTTCTCGCTGCCGGGCTCAGAAGGGTGGGAAAGCAGATGCTGCACACGTGGGACACGGTGGCTATGTCATCATATGCCGGCTGACGAAGTTCTGCAGCAGCAGCAGCAGTGAGGAGGAATGACGCTAGCTTCCAGATTGCGGCTCATTCGATGCGACCCGGCTGGACCTACAGGTTTGACAAGGCCGAAATCCTCGCAAGAGGTGACAACTGCGTGAACCGCAAACTACCCAAGTCATGGTTCTCGAACCCGCATTCGATTAATAAGCTCAATGACCTTCCACTACCCTATTATGTGTTACGGTTTTGCCTGGGAAAAACAGTCAGCCACGTGGCGAGTCCGCGAGTGACCAACAATTCCGGTGAATGCAGGCTAAAATTACCGAGTAACTGTCATGCCACGAATCAGCGTCGGTAGTGAAATGACGGCCACTAACGACTCGGGCACGGACCAACAAGCAATCTTCGCATCAAATAAGAACCCCAGCGATGAACCTGAATGCTGACAATTATTGTGGCATGGGGTCGCCGGTCGACTGTGTCCTATAAATACTGCGCTCCCTATGCCTCGAATACCCTTTTCTGCTCCTGTCTCTGGCGCTGCGCTCGAGAGAGGATCCGAAACGATAGGCCACTAAACTACTTGTTCCAACGGTCGCATCTTCTTTTGAATAGAGAAGACAACAAGTATGTGAGGATTGTATTCTTCTATATCAAAACTCAGTCAACTCCACAACTAGCCCCTCTACCTGGGAAGTGGACGTAACCAGTTTCAAACTAGACTTATTATACGTTTCTCGTAATTCCATACTAGTCACACAGTGACTGCGCTCCTCGGCATGAAGGTTGGCTCTATGAAGTCAGGAGGAAAATAGTCATTCCATTCTGGAGCACTGTAACCTCAGACCTGCTGCACGGTGCGCGTATATCAAGTCGAAATTACAGGAAATGCCCCCATTATAAGAAACAGGGTTCTGGTGAAAGCAGTCGGCTCGAAAAAAAAACTCATTAACTGTGAATCTCATCTTGAATAGAACCCTAAAGCAGAGAATCGAACAGCTTTCGACAACTTTGGCGTGGGTGTAAGACGCCAGACACATTTCAGCCATAAGGACCTTAGAAGCAGATTCTTGTATCCCAAAATTAAGTGCGTAATAAAAACAGACTCACACAGGTCTGTCCGAAAGAACCAAAAAGGTTATTCACTTATGCTCGTAAATAGAGGAAAAGGCCTGAACATATAATTCGAAAAGGAGATATCAGCCGCACCGAGACCAATATGGGAAAGACTACTTGTCTGTTTGAGCGTTCTCTTTAGGACTTCACGTAGGCGCTCCAGAAATTAATTTATGGAATAAACACCCAAAGAATGTGTTCAATATCTCGAATCGTACACTTTGTACAAAAAGCCTGAGCCTCTTTTAGTATACTTTAATCATAGATTACAGTTATGCTTGCTCCACAGACTGCAACATCATTTGCTTATCATTTTGTTCATCTACAAATACAAAAGCATAAAAATTGAAAACCCCAAAAGACAACATAATTAGCTGCAGACCTACGGGCCTTTCGCAATCCAAGTCGATGATTATTCAGATAACCTGGCTCGGAACTACCTTAGGCGCAAAAACGTGTCGTCGCTAGACAAACGACGAGGGACAAGTCTGCCTGACATAGCATTGTTAATATTCTGGGGATTATCCAAAATCTATAATTCCACCGTTCTCTGTTGGCCGGTTATCGCCATAAGGACCGACAATACCTTCAGTCTAGCCAAATGGGTGGCCAGAAAACGGAACTCCCATTGAGGGGAGGGAGCCTAGGATCTCCAATAACTTCGTACTTCCTCGCCGACCTCCAAAAGGAAAATTATTAAACCCAACCAAACTGTGGTGCCGTTCGATGTGATTTCACTCTTCGCACAAATTCCACCTACGTTTGCATTCGGAGTCGTGCACTGACGGCTTGAAGAGAAGTACGATGGAGCACGAAATCCGTAAACATCGAACATCTAACTTACTTTTTGTGTTCTGTCCGCCAGCGTTTTCCATTTTCGGTGACAGACGGGCTAGCGGTTCAAGGAAGCGCTGTTGAATTCTACGGTCTTCAGCTTAGTTGCCACAAAATTGCTACAATAACTGGAAAGGGTCGCCCTCAACCACTGCAGATGACATTTCCATTATGGTAGGTGTGAACAGGCCAGCAGGCCTTCGGAAATTGCTTAACAACATATCCCCTAACATCCAGTTCACAAGGAGAAAGAAGTAGATCAAGTGTCCCTCACTGACCTCGCCATACGCATTCGTAATGGCGAACTCTGAAAGGTGGTACACTTAAAAGTGACCAAAACAATCCATATTCGCAGTTATAACAGCAACTACTCGGTGGCGCACAGGCACAGATGAGTTGGAACGCACTCTCTTTCAAAGGGTAAACGCATAATGAGATAGCCAACGCAACGGACCCATGAACTCTGGTAACCACAGGACCAGTTCTCAGGGAATGACTTTCCATGGAACCCTATGAACTGCTGTCTCCGCACATACGCACAGAGAACAAGCATGCTGAAACCACCAACATTTTGCAATTTTACCGTGTCTAACGCTTGCATCGGATGCGATAGGACTCATAGCCAAAGATTTTTGTGTGGGTAATTCCCATCTTCCGGCGGTTACCGCGCGTGACAGAGTTGTATGAATGAAAGACAAAGTGGGTGCAAGTGAGCAGACTGCACAATACAGCCGGGCCTGGAGGCATGGATGTCCGACTGCACCTCTGACATATTGGCCCGCCCACAGCCTACCATACATTGTGCGCCCACTGACATATGGTGCAGTCTCGTGCCAACGCAGAGCAAACGCGACCAATGAGAGGAGAGTAGCCACAAGGGGATATAAACGTGCAGCCGTTATTTTGTCTCTCTTGTTAGGCTCCTGTGGGACTCTGATAGCCCAGGCGAATAAAATGACTGTTTCAGTAGTCGTGTACCTTTCGTTCTTGATATCTACCTACTGCCAATACTAACAAAAAGGCAAATTATAAGATGCAACTGACAAGAAGACTCGATCGCTAGAATGTGAGTTTGTAGCCGTCTCATGCATCATATTCGCATTAGAACCCATCACCAGAGTCGGCAACAGAGAGGGGTAGTGCAAGTGCAAAGGTTTCGGTAGAATGCAGAGCCTGCCAATCAAAATTAAAAGGTCCCGCATTTACCATGGATGGTCGTTCTAGATGTGATTACTGCTTGGTCGGTCGCATTGGAGTCGTTAATTGCTGCATTTTCATCGCCAGTGTTGGTTCGTGATGTAAAACTAGATCGGCGGTTGGTCCACAGAAGCGAAGAGGTGAGTAACCTAGAAGAAGATCAGAAGGATGAGATATGATAGATGGAACAGGACGTTTGCTCGCTCGGCTTTTCGGAGTCTTACTTCAATCCATCATCAGAGACGGTTGCAGATGGATGATGATGATGATGATGATGATGATGATGATGATGATGATGATGATGATGATGATGATGATGATGATGATGATGATGATGATGATGATGATGATGATGATGATGATGATGATGATGATGGTAGACTCGAGTGTGAACCGAAGACGTCAGGCAAAAGAAAGCCTTGTTCCGGGTATTGTATTTCAGTCTTCTGATCAGCAATTTGTCTAACAATGCTGTCATTACAGGTAGCTGACTCGCGCGCTCTCCCTGCGCATATAAGGCCATAGCGCTTGCTGCTGCATTGTGCGTCTGAGCACCATGGTTAAAGCGCGAGAATTTCGGCCTAATTGGGTTTAACTGTGCGTCCTGGTCGTGGAAAGTGACCCGCGATCCGTGCCTTGACGCCATACCTCCTCATTGCTGATGATTGGCGGCTGGAGTAGTGTTTTATTTTTTCCACGTCGTTTCGCCAGCAGTAGGTATGGGGTGTTGCAAACTCGATCTATAAATGCCATGTCATCTATTGTCCACCTCACCCATCTGTTTCTTTTTCTGACGATGAGTTCGGTCGTGAATCCGCAAAGTCAGGCGACTTACTCTTTTACTCTTAGCGACCAACTTTGCCTCTCCCCAATAATTATCGTGTTACTTGCAGGAAAGTCTTATGCGTAAGAACTGGCCTTTAATAACTACTACCCGCGATTTTTACCTCTTGCAAAAATGCATGATTTTCCGACCTTTGGCGATGGCAACATGTTTGCGTTTGGGAGTCCACTCTCTCAGCTAGCTACGCATAACCATCCTTATTAAAGCAATTTTTTCATCCTTATTAAAACGGGGTCTGGTCGAAAGTTTAAAATGTTAAGTTAAACGTCACGAACAGACGACGATTTGGTGACTCTGTTTCTGTACCCGTCATCCATTAAGTTAGGTGCTTCCCCTTGGTGGCCAAGACTATCTTAGGTTCAGTGACTTGACCTTTTTTCGTATTTTTATTACTCGAAGTGTCACCTGCTTTCATGTTTGCTCCTCAGTAAAGGAACCTAAGAAGTCATAAAGTGCAGAGAGTCCGTTTAGGTATGCCCATTTACTTCTGGAAGTAAACTTGCAAGTCATGACATTAGAAAGTCCACTTAAGTGGAAATCATTTTATAATGTTGCAGGAGAAAACTGGTTAAGTTAGAAGGCCATTAGAATAGAAAATATCAGCATACGGAGGGTCATGGCTCGGAAATGTCAGACGCGAAGTTACCTAATAAAAATAGAGCTAGACACCACTCTGGGGGCAAATCTACAAACCATAAAAAGATTATCTAGCGTCGTAGAATCTGCCCCGCATTCATTATGCTTTGTCCGCATTCAGCATTAAAAACTCCTTCATACTTTATAAACAGGGTCTTCCAGAATACCTGAAGGTTATTGGGACTGGCAGGCCCGAAGAATGCCGTCGACTGGTGTCGTCCCTCTTCGATTTTACTACGTGCAAGTATTCCTCCTGTTCTTTCAATGATGTCTATCAGCCGCCGATTAGTGGGAAGTTTTATGTACGTTTAGTCAGACTCCTTAAAGTGTTATTCTTTATGCATAACCGAATGTTTTTTTGTCGGAAACAAGAATCGCCAGAAGTAATAAATTGCAGCTTTTTGCCCAACACATCTCTGCCGATATGACTTACATGGTCGAAAAGTTGGTCCGTATATGTGCATTATACTGATGTTTTCCATTTGCAGCTGACTAAGCGTTCTTAGATTTTATTCGCTCTCTTGCTTCTAGTCTAACAATAAATGTTCTTAATTTAATAAATTATATTATCTAAACAAATCAGCGCGGATGTGACAGACACAGAAGGCTTAATGCTAACAAAGGGCGGGCAAAGAGTTTCACTACCGGTCAATTTGCTTTTTTCTGAAATCTGTTTTATTGTAAAAACTCATCAGCCTCGATGGGGTTCAGACGCTCAACAGCAAGGACAGGGCTTGAGTACAACTCCTTAACCACCTGGGCTGCAGGACCGCGAACGAGAGCTGTGATTTGAATCACATTTGTGTCAAGTTACCCATCCAGTCTACTGCAATGTATGGGATTCACCAGTTCTGATGCAGTAAGCTGACTGCCTGGACAAGCATGGTGTTGCATATGCCACACAGACGAACGTAGAAGAAATAGGGACAAAGACAAGGGAGACTAGAACAACAACTTCTGGTTTATTTATCTTCATCAGTCAGTCAGTAAAGCAGAGAGAACGTGAAATTTCCCGCCAGCTAATCGACGACGTGTTACGTCTGCGTGAAAGGGTAAAATAAAGTCGCATTGGCCAAATACCCTAGAGAAACTCATTTAAGCAGACTATAATATGTCTCCCGAAATACCAAATCATGAAAGTTGAGACCAATAATAGAACTTGTGTCAGTTAACTCGAGGTCGGCCTCCGGATGGGAGGAACCCCTGAAATACACTGCGCAATGTTCCCTTTGCAGTTAGGTTCCTGTCTCATTCTTAATTCAGCCAATTACAACAGCGAACCTCGACTGACTAGGCACAGAGTCCCCAACTCGACACCTCAGCTGGTAGCAAGCTGCTGCCTTTCGTTTTCTATTAAACAAGACTTGGACCAGTTATTATGACGTTTAAGATACACTCAATACCCGAGTCGCTACACATCATCCACCAGTAAATGCTTTCTTGTCCTGTATATTCCGGCGAAATCGCCTTCACCAACCGTGCCGAAATTTCCAGCGATGATAAACAGACAGAACTTAATAAACGGAACATGTGATCTTGTTTGGGCTACCTCATACGCTGAACTTCCAGGAACTCGTCAGGCTTCGTATAAACGCCGCTCTTGTTCTGATTATGGCTTGGCGGGACTGTAGGGCAAGCCAGGAACTGTTATTTCAGCTTCTTTGGTCTGCGTCCGTAATATTTTTCGATCATTGATCACTCGTCTCTATGACGCCATCTCCTGGAGCCCTAGACCTGAGCTCTGATACAAAACACAGCATCCATTTTCCATCCTGCAATTAGGATAGACTGACGCAACGTCAGTGTAACATTCCAGTAGTGGTGATTTTTTTGTTCATGTTTTACCACCAAATGCCTGTTAGTAATCAGAATCTCTATTAGAACAATTTTTCTGTATATCCTCTACCACCGGTCGATACCTTTTTTTACCATTCCTGGCGGTCGGCCACCTTGGTTTGCTGTCGCCCCAGATCAAGACATGTTGAGGGTAAGCGTGCAGGACTGCTACTCAACTCACCGCACGAATTATCCGAGTTATACTTACTGTCTTCTGACATGCCTTTGGCCTCGAATGCGCTTATTCCGATGAAGATACTGCCACCGTACCAAAATTACCAGTGCCATATGACCTTAACAACTACTTATCATAGCCGAGAGGATGCAACAGGTGGCTCGATAGCCGACTGAGTCCGGTTTCGAGTCACCGACCTTTGTGACATTTAGTTGGGATATCACCGACTGCTGAGAGCAAAAAAGCCATCTGCCTTTTACACTTCCAAATGTTAGCCTTCCTACCCTTTATATCATTACCAAGTGTGAACTGAGGCAGAAACATTACTACACTGCTACGAATTTTGCTCCACAGGTTAACATTATCTTGTTGACCTACGCCTGACGCTCCGTCTAACCTTTTATAGGCCTTTGCCGCATTTCGATATCTGACAATCTTCCTCGAGTTCCAGAACCCAGGAATAAACCTAACGCGCAGCCAAACAATCAAGGCTGTTGACGATCTCTGCCGTACGGACTGGAAAAAGGTAAAATTACCCAGATACTACCTAAACTCGTCTTGGTGATTAATGCAATCTCCTCCTCCTCCTCCTCCTCCTCCTCCTCCTCCTCCTCCTCCTCGCCCTTCTGTCATTTAGAAGTCAGTTGTAAAAATCACATCTCTGCATCTTTTCATACTACCTCATGATTAACAGACAAACACAGCAAGAATCGGACATATCATGAAAGCTCGTCTCGACAAACTCAAAGAACTACATGTCATTAAACCCGACAGGCGTTCTGACTTCGTTCTAGTAAATAGAATAAATGAGCATCAATAATAGTGAAGATGCAGTCCCCCGACGACATGTCAAAAGAAGAATGGGCGTTCGTTCATCGGGAGTGGTTTTCTTAAGGTCTGGCGTTTCGAGCTGCGAGTTCGTCTTACTCAGCTTTAGAAATGTGATGTATGCAAAACAGAAGGTTACTTGGAAATAGGACGTGTACTGAGTACGAGAGACAGCACAAGTGAGGAGGCTTGTGGAAACGGTTGGCTATATGGCAGGGGGGAATGTCATAGGCTGATGCGTGGCCAATTAGCACAAAGAAGGTCTAAACAGGGGTACATGACCTTGATCGTTCTCTTGTCACGCGCATGCGGCATGACGTCCTGACAGCCCCGGCAGCATACGCTGCAGGAAACTGGAGAGTAATGCGCACAGCTTTTTCTGGGTAGGGCGTCAATTTCGACTGTAGGTCCGCATCGGACCCCCGCTTCGCTGTGACCCTTGTCGCCCTCGCCCTCACCGACCGCGACGATAATTGGCGGTCGTGGCTGTGGCACGCCACCACTGTCTCCTGTCAGGACAGATCGTAAAACCAGATGGGGGGAGAGGTAAATTGGTGTGGTAGTTGGCCGAACAGTCGGTGGACATCCAGGTTCCTTGTACCTGCCTTAATTTGTGATCATCGTCTCGGCCCACAGTCCGGACAGCGTGAAAGGTAAAGATGCGCCTCATCTGCGCGGCGTAGGATGCCATCTCAAACATTGGGTTCAACGTTATCACGGTCAGCTGATACGCATACATTGGCCTTCACAACTGACGGCCGGCTTCTCCAACCTCCTTTTTTTAAAAATGAGCATGTCTCAAAAATCAGATCAATCTGGGCTGATGACACTAAGCTCGGAAGAGAGAGAGGCAAGATAAGAACAAAACCGAGGTCACAGAAGTCCGATTCGGAAACTGAAAGGCCAAGGTTTCCTTAGTGAAAAACGTTCGAGGCACTTAACCCCACCGACAAAAGTCTCCCCGCGGCTGCGTGGTTTACCAGAGATCCACAAACTAGACTTCCCTATGAAGCCGATATTAAGCATGAGCAACTCGACAAAAATTACAGAGTGGCTGCCTCTATCATGCGTCGCTGTCAGGCTGCTGGTTTGGCTCGAGAGAGGGAGAGCCCGTAAGGCACAACGGAACGAGTGAGTTCCGTAAAAACGATCGGTGAGCGCCCTTTTACCACTAAGATCTACTAAGGCCGATTCGACTCAAAATAGCACCAGCAGCCTGTGAGACGCTTTTGAACTCATCAACTCTGTAAGAAACACGAATCACAATGGGGAAACGGGGTTATCCTTAGATTGCCGTCTTTGTGCACCGGTATTGCCAGGTCGTTAGACAGGATTTTCCCGTTGAAGCCCTGAAGGATCTTCTCTCCTGCTGCCCACTGAATGCTCAACTTAGATTCGAAGGTGTAGCGATGGGACTGCTCCTTGGCAGATGTCTTCATGGGAAACCAGAAAAGAACAAGCTCTAGTCGATTATAGAGGACCTTTATTCCTATCCCCAATACCTTGATGCTAATCTCACAATATCTGAGAAGTTTGATTTAGTCACCTTTCTGGATAAAGTGATTCAAGATCAGAAGATGAAGATGCGATCATTGGGACAAGAAATTTATTGGCCTGACGTTTCGGATTCTCAATCGAATCCATCATCAGAGACATTCACCATCGTTGACCTTCACTGTGGAAAAGTGAAGGGATAGTGTCTTCCACTTCTGGACGTCTCCCTTAGTAAAACACCTGATGGAACAATTTGCAGAATGACATTTCGCTAGAAAAAATAAATTGGACAATACGCATATTTCTATAATTTGTCTCCCTAAGTCTGAAACGGGGACTAATTAACTGACTAATCAACCAAACTAGGAGACTATGCACTCCAGCTATGTCGGACCACAAACCCGCCTTCATATGGCACGCTCTGCAAAAATATTTTCTCCATTTAATTTGTTAGAAGATACTGGGAAGAGAGTCCCCCAAAAGCGGACACGCTGATGGTTAAAAAGGAAGAGCTAGCCCTACATTGTCGCTTTGAGGGGACCCGGCAAATGAAACCCCAAAACGTCACCGGAACTCCGATGCTGCGCACACGTAGCCAAAGGCGGAGACAAGATTAATTTTCTTAAGCATTCTCCTTTTTCGCATCGAAAATAAGGATAAGTTGCACTTTCAGACTTCGTCATTGCGCATGTACACCTTCACTTGTTCTCATGGGGCAGGTTAAATTTTTCTAACAACTAGACGCCTATCCGAGGGACGGCGAGTGCACCATCCTGCTTGGTTAAGTCAGGGCACGGGTAAGTCCATCTCTAGCGCGATTGTGGCTCGTCTGATTGGCAGCGCCACCGCGCAAACGTCAGCCAAGCATTTCAAACCGTACCCAAAATAGTGGTGAAACACTCAGAATTCCTGAGCTGAGGGATGCTTATGACGGCAGAGGCAGTGGCTATTCGGTTATCCAATCTAACCGTATACTCGCAAAAGGCGTTTTCTCAAGTTCTCCAGCCACCCTTGTCCAAGCCGAGCCCAGCGTATTCCTACTCGCATCCAATCACGTAGCGTAAAAATGAGAAAACACAGACACAACCCAGCGACATCCTCCGCCTGGCAGAACTACACCCCAATTCTTCCTGTTGTAATTGTCTGCACCAGACCCACAATATGACGCCCTGAACGCTGCCTGTCAATCCCCCTCAGCTATTTTTGAAAAGCGTTTAAAGCATAAACTCATGAATTCCGTTTGGAGATGGTTAAGCCTGTTGGCCAACCGAACTCTCCTTAACGCACTCGCGCAGCTATGGAAAATCTCTCTGACGTGCAGGGGACGTTAAGAATATGGCCAAAATTGAAATAACCGCTGCCGCTGTGCAGAGAGCCTATTCGCGGTTTGAACGGTGCCAGTGTCTCACCCTCTTGGGGAGTGACTATGTTCCACTCTGATAGATCAGCCAATTGGGTTGATTCCAAGATGTCCAAACGTCGAAATCTTCGAGTGATGCCCATATTAAACTTCTCGGTCAAAGCACTTTACTTCACATAGTGTGCTCCCATCAACACGCGATTTGGCTTTCCTTATTCGATCATATGTGAAGTACAAGAGGTCACCTCAATGCTCTCCTTTCAGGTTGTCGCCACTTTCCCGGAGGATAGCCTAAAGTACATCGCAGACAACTGCTACGTGGGCGTGCTGATGGACAACCTGCTTCACGGATACGGCTTCAGAGATGATGAGAGTTGGAAAAGGATCGAGTTTGTTGAGAAGGTAAGGAGATCCACTGATCACTACTCCTCTCCGCTTCTCAGGTTTTGGGCTCATAAGGAGGGCAAAAGATCGAGGTTTCTCGTGCCTGTACTAAAAATTACAGAGGTAGCTGCGATGACTTCGAGGTCAGTTGCATGCAGCACACGGCGAGTGTAATTATTACCACGCCGACTGCAATTTACGGTTAAGATACCGAAAATACTAATGACAGTCAGGCAAGGAAGGAAACGAATATGCATGCCTCCTGAACTATCTTCCTATAAAATGCCTTTGATGCATGAAAACAAGCATTCAGAACAAAAACTATTTTTTCCCTTTTTATACACATATCCAAGACCACGTTCCCTCTCCTAAAAGATCTCCGTTGCCACAATTACCGCACTACAGCTGACCTTGCGCTATAGCCCGGGAGGTATATAAATCCGTTCATTATCGTTAACGACACAAGTAACGAGCATATGAGTCCACGCCCAGACAACGTTGGACTGTTCCAATAAGCTGGCTGCGCTTCGTATGCCTGGTAGTGACTGAAATTCCGAACATGCTCTACCGGAGATAAATTTCTGCCTGGCGGACAGCTTGGACGCCAGTCCTCTTTCCGATCAGAATTCAGAACTCCTCCGGCCTTTACTTTCAACAGATTGCTGAAGCTCCGGCCAGCTGGGCCCTCGGTTACGCGTTGGATGCGACGGGACGGATCCCCACCGGGAGTCCAGTCTCACACATTGATCCTATGGCCATGGCAGTTGGACTCACCTTCCTCCTCTGTCTCCTCTTCGTCCTTCTTCTCATCCTCGTCGGCATTAAGAAGCACCGACTGGTATTGTAGACCCCAGTCGAAAGATGTCACAAGGACCGAAATGCCTGGTAACACCTTGGTTCCACTCTGTTTACCCCAGTCCTCACGTCGTGCTGTAAACGTGCAACTTATTTTTGTGATTGATATGAATGTCACGTGGAGGTATTGTCGCCTATCACGTTATTCTTCGACACTCTTCTCTTGCCGTCGACTAACATATACAACGGAAATGCAAGATGGTACGAACTGTACACAGGAGCCTTGTGCCTGTTCGTCCCTAAACCATCCCTGGTAGGAACAGGAAGCTTAATGAACAGAGAGAGAGAGAGAGAGGGAGAGAGAGAGAGAGAGAGAGAGAGAGAGAGAGAGAGAGGGAGGGAGGGAGGGAGAGAGCTCCACGATAGACCGAAAGAAAACGAGGATCGGTGTAAAGATAATATTCAAATAGCTTGCAACTCGGAAAAATTCTGTGACCCTAAAGGCAAGACTCTTGAAATTTGTGAGAGAGGGACAGGGTCTTTCGAGTGGAAACCGAGCGTAGCATTTAAAAAAATTGTGCTCAATAGGGCGATTGGCCACGGACTATCGGTTTGAGAGAGACTTGTTCCTGAGAAAGAATTCCTTCAGCTGACTCAGAAGGTTGGAAAGATTGTCGGGTGAGGGTTGAACAAGAGCCGGCTGGGCCCAGCTTGGAAGACCATTAAGAACCTTGGGAAGGGGGAGTTAAAGAAGGCCTAGTTTGAGATTTTGAGAAAGAAACAACGGTAACACATAAGAATAGGAACTCTTGCGTGGTGCAGGTGACCTTGTGCTATACTCCAAGACGGGGAACTTATTCCCGTGTCCTAACCTTGACAATGGCCAAAACCTTAATCGTAACCTCTAGACTCAACCCTAAACGTAAATCTCATGATCCTAATCCTCTTTGAGTTTAATGGCGGTTTCCTATTCCCTGTACTAGAGAAAAACAAGTAAAACGGAGGTTTCTATAATAGAAGCTCGCAGTTTACACCAGCTGTTAATGCTGCGGGGTGAAGGAAGGCAGATGTTGGCAGAGAGAACTCATGAATAACACTCAAAAAGAGGCTATTGGTCATTTGGGGCGTGAGTTACAGGAGTTGTAGCGCAAATTGTCGCTGTAGTTGGCGCTGAGTAATTTAAAGGATAAATGAGGGGGAGAAAGCTGTGTATGCGATCGACGCGACGCATGAAGAACATCGAGAGAAGTTAGGTGGCATCTCCAAATCGTTACTAGTAGGACAGGCATACAGGAAACCGCAACCGCCTAGTTGGAAGGAGTATTCGACCTCCAGGGTTCCCCTTGTGGTCAAGTCCAGTTTTGGAAAATAACAGTAACTGTGGCGTGCATGGGGTTAAATTTTTAGGCCTACTGTGGGAGGAGTAGAGTTCAAGAATAGTTTTTATCAAGAAGGGACATGCAAAATAGCTCTCAGGCAACGGATTTCGCTCGAAAAATGATGCACTGTCGTACCTTATCCCTGTCATGGAAATCTCATCTAAGACTAATTCGTACGCGCTGGCATGATGCCTTCCAACACATGGTCCCCCAGTCACGTGATAGTCTTACTGGAAAAGTGGCCGACTAAACATTAGCATTTAGTTAACATGCTTTTGGAAGACTTTATTGTGGAAAATTCTCCTTGCAAAGGAGGGATGGGCAATTCCTGCCCTATGGCTATTTCACAGTAAATCCCTTTAAACGGAAAGTACGGAGAAGACTGACTACAAATGATCTGTCCTAAGTAGATAAATTATGAAATGCGGAAGGCTTAATAGTGAATATAGTGCCAATAAAGCGGATCATTGACCAATCTTGTAAGGGGAATATGCCATGTTTAGACGTTCTGTTACACCGGCAATAGTAATGAGGGCCAGCGGTTCAGCGTCATGTAAAAAGCTAGCAGCGACAAACAACAGCCATCATCATCATCATCATCATCATCATCATCATCATCATCATCATCATCATCATCATCATCATCATCATCATCATCATCGTCATCATCATCATCATCATCATCACCGTTGCTATCATCGGCAAAAAAACAGCAGCTGGAGTCCCTAAATAAGATGGCCAGTATTTGGATTCTGAACGGCAAGCATAGTCAAGCAACTTCCCAGACTCCGTAGTTGTAAAAACCCTCTTCGCAAGGTACCGATGTACCATACCACAGACTTAAATCACCTGATGTTTTTCTACACGTGTGATTCCGTCATAATAACGCGTAAAGGCGCCGAATTCAAAAAACGACAGAAAAAAGACACAGTTGTGAGTCATTTAGGTTCGTAAAGTAACCATATCAAGCAGACTACTAGCTTTTATCTGCTGTTCTTAGGTTTTATCGAGAAGCAGCGTGAGATATCGTCGGAGGAGAGGTGCGTACCTGCTTGCGAGAAAAGCGCCGGTCCAACAGAAAGATGGCTGCGTAGTCCTTGGCATGACGGACAGAGCGGCCTATGGCCTGATTCACTGACCGCATACAGATGCTTTCGCATAGAAGCTGGCCCGGAGTGAGGCGAGCAGACTCGTCCGACCGACTTGCATTTACACCCACCTCCTGAGGTCTGAGGGTTGTCGTTGATGGGGTCGAAAAGTTCCGGTTGAGAAAGTTGATTTTCTCACGTAGCTGAAAGTGAATGGACCGCGGAAGGGGTGGAGTCAGGATATACATCGGTCGGCTATCCCGTTGAGATCGACAACGGAGCACGTTCCAAAAAAAGATAGGAAGGCAAAACTTGACGGCCGTATGGTGCAAAGGCAAATTATGGAGATAGCTGTCTTAGGACTACCTCGAATAGTAGTATTGTACAGTGTCCGTTCGCGAGGGCGAAAAGCCATAGTTACGACTTATGAACCCCAGGCTTAGGCGGGGTTTGAATGTTAGGTTAAACAGGGATAACGATAGTGGTGGAAAGTGGGTGGGGCGTGCTGGAAATCGGAAACAACCGCGAACTTCCTACACTTTGAGCAGTTGTATCAGCTGTAAACACCCACAGCATGCGATCTCGGAGTCGCCCTTTAGATTGCAGTAGAGGCCCGAACTCATGAAATGCTGAATGAACTACCCGAAGAAAACGAGCCTGTTATAGCAAACACACACGTCGTGTTTCAGAAGCCTCAGCTGCAAAGAAGACAGACCCCGTCCTGAAGAACATTTTAAAGAATAAGAAGTATACGATATCGTCGATCCCCTTTTTAAAAAACCGAGGTTCTTTGAAGAGCGCTATATGGATGAACTGTCCAGTCGTTTCTTTTGGGAAAAAAACAATTAACTAACCTAAAAGTCTAAAGCCAGAATAAGCAAAGACGGTCTACTGGCACACTTTTTTCAACTGCCCGATTATTCGAAATTTGACTGGACGCAGGAATAAGGATCCCCTCCCCCGAACCCCTCGCAGCTGCGTCAGGCAACGGCATAAGATCGGCGAAACACGCGTGTCTGGGCTTTTAGCTAATACCTGTGTTGTTAGTACGGTAAATCATTGCACAGACAACATTACTGTCAACACCAAATTTTAACAAAAATGAAGTTCACCGGTAGCGCTCAGTTATCCCTGACCCTACCTTCTGCTGAAAAGAGTCCTAACCGGTTTGCGCTTTTGAAGTATAGGCTCATTTCGAACCCATTTCCTCTTTTTAAGAGGTATGCCTATGTCAGGCTGCAAAACAGAGATATAAACTGGACCAAACGTTTGGCCTTCCAGCGTGAAGTAAGGTGTAAAGTAAAAATCCCTGTCCTGTCGCAAGTCCTGAAAGTGGTTTACGACAGTACAGGGGGAGAAACCGACAGCAACCGAAGGGGAATTCAGGGGGCGGCAGTTAGCAGGGCTATCAGGTTGCCTTGTCCTTCTTGGCGCAGTGCACACAAGAGTATTAGGAGAGCTATTTCGAGACAGCTGTTAGTACATGGAGATACTTTCATGCAGGTAACCAACCAATCAAAAAGTACAAGAAGTTAAAAGGCAGTGTCGGGGAACAGTAGTGAAAAGAAGGAGATCAATTAACCCTCCTTCTTATTTGCTTCAGCTAGCGAATGTGAGTGCAATAACCTCATATTTCACAATGTAAATTAAAAGCAAGCGGTAATGTAAGACTCCTGCTTCTGTCAACTGCGTTGCCTGGCATAGTTGGCCGCGATAACGAAATGGCTCGTCCGAAAAACCCAGTTATTGCAGCTCCCTTGTAGGCATCAAAACAAATGTGCTGCTTGCGAGGTCAACCGTATGGGACTTTCGTCGTCACTTGTGCTACTATTCTCGTCATCCCTGACATATGACTCCCACATGAGTTCGACAGTCCAGAATAATAAACGAATTCTTCCGGTTCTGAATCAGCCTCCTGCTTCCCACTCATGCATACACCTGAAACTCGAACATTTGACAGCGTTCATAGCCTTGCATGCCATTGCAGACTGTAGGCAAGTAGAGAATTCGCACAAGTCAGCAAACTCACACCGTCAGACAACAGCCAATCGCAGACTGGAAACTCTGTCCCTGAGCTACGACGAGCGCGTCTGCCCTATTCCCTCATCCTACGCCCGCAAAGGGGCCTATAATTTATTTGCTTGACAGAGCAGGCTGAGACAAAGTGTACTGCTCCATCGAAGAAAACAGACAAAAAAAACGAAGAAAGTAGCTTGAGGGGTAAAAAAGAAGGGAGCCTTTAGGGTGTATCATCTCACCCTTCGGGAAAGACTTAAGAGCACATAAATGCAGCACATACTCACAGCGACAGAATTGACGTTCGGGTAGGGCAGGCCAACAATTACAACAGCTCGCGCAAGCTCGTCGTTAAAGTTAATGCCCTCCGACAACTTGCCGCCGATAACAGCAAGAATGCAGGCACCCGACTTGCTCGTCGCCGCTGCTGCGTAGGCTTGGAGTACCTAGCCCATTGAAAGGAACAACAGTGAATCAAGAGGAAATATGACGCGGTATGCCCCAAATCTCACACGGCCACTCAAAAAGGTCAATTACATGGAACTATAGAACTGGTAAGCTTGGTAAAA